CTTTACAATGCCCTCATGTTTTTTTCTTTTTTTTTTTTTCTATGCTTATGGAAACATTACTTGAAAAGAAGGAAGATAAGAATAAAAGGTACTATTCTATGTTAATTCTAGTTTGTGCCCTATCTTCTTACAGCTCTTCCATTGTTCATCCTAATGAAATATGAACTAGAGTTATCGAATGATGAAAACTTTTAATCTTTTAATTGATGACCAAAGTGCAAAACCACGCATCTCCATCGCGATGTTTCAAAATTTCCAATCCTGTTTTATTTCTTTATTTTTTGAAGAAAAGTGGGTCAATTTTATAGCTTGAAATTTATACAAAATATTTTGCCAACAGAGAAGAAAACTTACCTAAGGAAATTTTCAAGAAATTATATTGATTATTTTTTCTAAGAAAAAATGACAAATTATGCCCGGCAGTCTGCAACGTCCCAGATAGAGATACGTGGTTTCGCACTCAGGCCACCTAACTGAAATGAAATCTTTGATCCAGAAACGGGAATGAGTATGCATCAGAGAGGATGAGGAAAATCAGGCTTCCTAGAACATAGGCAATAGGTAAATTTTAAGCAAAATAGTTCACATTTGCATGCAGTGTTTCAAAATATTGTCTCCTGTTTTATTGTTTTGGAAAGCAGTCGACCAACATTTTCCCTTTTTTGTTGTAAGTAATAACCTTCATATAGGCAAGTGAAATTGCAGCAATTTCAAACATTGCGAAAAGATAAAGGAGATGAAATCCAAGTGTTGCACCTGTTTGATTATCATTGTTGATGATATGATTACTGGAAGTACCTGGAGGAAAGCGCCTAGAAATTATGAAATTTCAACCCTTAGCCTGGCCAACCAGAATCAGCTGAACTCCATCAAACGTTGTCCGATTTCTTCTCAAGTTTTATTTTATTACTACATGACTAAGTAACTTTATGCCTTGAAATTGCGTAAATAAATACCTATATTGTTCTTGAGCCCAGGAAAATTTTAAGAAAGTTCAAGGTGTTAAATTGTTTAATTCTTTTTTAAAAAGATGGATCAAGAGAGGAAGTTAGATGACGAAAATTGTAGTTGGGTTGATTCGGGTTTCACCCACTCACTGATCACAGTCATTCTTCAGTGTTTTTTCTACTAAATCTCTATATATGTTTTGAATTAAAACCAAATGAAAATCTCCCTCAGTCCTGAGTGTTTATATTAATATTGATCAGGGGCTGCCCTAAAATTAGGTAAAAAACATCATATAAAACATTTCTATACCTCAAATATGAGATGAAGATTCCATATGTTGATAGTAGCTCTCATGTTGGCAGATTGTGTTGAAAAGTCAGCTTTTTCTTCATTTAAACCACAGTGTATAGAATCCATAATTTAATTCTATAACTTGGCAACCTCGGTAGCTCTACCGTTGAAAGTAAGAGTAAACGATATTTTTTTTAACAGTTAAGGAACAAGGTAAATTTACAACTGTCAGCCAGATCAGTACACAAAATTCATTTTTGTTATTTTCTCTAAGTATTTGTACCGAGTACATGTCTCGTCTAAACCTGGGATTCTCTTTTCCTTTTACATCCCTTTTCCTCGATCTCACTTGCAAGATATTTTAACCAAGTGAGAGAGTTCTATGAGTTCAATACTAAACTCTGCATCGAGTTTTTTTTCTTCCTTTTTTCTCTCTTTTTTGAACCTAATTGTTTAAATTGAATGAGTTTTGTGTCAGTCACATTATTGACTTTTTCCATCAACATCCATGAACTTGGGAGACTAAGCTCAACCAATCATGACATCTGCTAGCTGACCCAGGAGTGTCTTAATTCTGAGCTAGCCAAGCTTTTTTATGAACCCCTGAGGCTAACAATGATTAATCGATCGTCTAATTGCCCATGTGCAATGTCTTTAATTAAGTAGATTAAGTGATCCTGCGCAAGAACCTCACCACTATCCTCCTACCCAAGCGTTTGCTTCAGCTGAGAAAATCTATGGAGCCCTGGTATTTTGTTTTCTTTCGAAAATTCTGGGTTGTGCTTCCTTTATATGAACCTCCTATCTCGCCCGAAATGAACATTAATTGCATTTTTTACACATCTGTCAAGGTCAGCCTGCCTTCTTGGTGATCAGCTCCCCCCTTCCCAATAACTTGATTACACTATGCCCTGGCCATAAACAACATATATTCGCATCCCAAAAACATGCATTTTGGTCGAAATTTGCTCTGAAGCTTGCTTTGGTTGCCATTTAACATTTAGCAAGGAGATCCCATGACTAACTAATAATCATAGTTTTTCTTTCTATTATTCCTCTATGAAAATATTATACATAAATAATTTGTCAACTTCTAGGTGGAAATATTTTCATGCTATTCACTTTAAATTTCCAGAAATTGATGACAGCTGTCATTGTCAGCATGTCCTTTCCCTTTGCCTGCAGAAAATCCAACTGTGTTAAATTTTACTCAACTTAATCACTGTGTTCCTACTAATGTTACATGATTAAAGTCCGTGCTAAGTGAGTTTTCGCATTTTTTGAGTGAGACTGTAGATCTGCCATTTTGAATCTCGCATTTTTTACTTTCAATACTGAATTGACAGGTTACAATTGTACAAGCACAATGCCAACTTTAGAAGCAAGGCAACATTGAAAAGCACCAGCTTGAGAGCAGCTGTATTACTCACTAGGTGCAATACAAGAAAAATACACCGAAGGTGCAACAAGGCTTAAACAAAATGTTAAGATACACAGCCAGCAGGTTCAGGCGTTTTACATGCCCTTTCTATTCAGGAATAAGAGCTGAAAATAAAAAATTGCAACCTTTGAAATACCTGCCCTACGTGCCCTTTCTATTCAGGAATAAGAGCTGAAAATAAAAAATTGCAACCTTTGAAATACCTTGTTTTCCTTCTGAAATTTCGAAAAAAAAATATAAATAAAAATTTGTGTTGCTTTATTTCGTACCTTGTTCATTCGCCCATTAGGGAAGGTGGCTTAAAAATATTTCGAAGATTAATACGTTTTCCCATAATCATTGCAGTTCTGAAGATGCTGAGCGTTATGTCTTCTCCAGCTGAAAACTCAACTCAAGAAGCAGCGACAGATATTTCACAAGATTTTCTAACCACTGGAAGGACAGGTAGAAGAAATGCCTTGCCAGATATCCTGGGAAGTCACAACACAACATCCACTGCAGATCTTCCTTCAAGGCTTGAGGGACTTTCGACCAGCGGTAATTATGTCATTTAACTCATAATTCTTCAGTAATTGATTAAAATCTTATGAGGTAACTATTTATTTCTTCGTTATTTTTATTAACTTATCAAAATTCGAGATTCTTATCTTGCTCTCTTTTCTACAAAAATGATCAAGGTTTCAAAAATCTGATGAGACTTTCAGCGACTGAATTAACTGAAAGAGATTGATTGAAATTAAGTTGATTGATTGAGTTCCTGAAACTCCACCCAGGAACTCACAAACAACACCACACTAGGCGAAATTACAGAGCAGTTTTTTTTTTTTCCAAATGAAGCAGTGCTAAGGAATTTTTGCAGAGATTCAGTCTAGTAAACTACAAGTCATGTACAATTTCGTAAACAAACCTTAAAGTTCATGAAAAAGCTAATAGAATCATTTCTAAGTGGAGAATGAAGCTAATCAAAACCTGATCAATCTACAGACAACAATAGAGTTGATGTGGCAAAGCGAACTGCAAACTGGATTCAATGATGTAAGGATTTGTTGCTTTTTTCATGGCCTTTAGATGGTGGTGAATCAAGCACAAGCTGTGGATCCAAACTGCAAGAGCCCTCATCAAGTAATCAATCGCTTTCAACACCATGTTCCTCAAACGACAGAGGAGGCACCTCATCAAGTTGATCCAGTCGGCTTGGAATTGAAGTAAGTATCTTCGATTCCTATATTTTTTCTAACAGACTGGAAAAATATATATTTCACAGGATCATAAAATCAGTGCTAAAACCACTACACCCCAAGAAGCTGACAACGTGATGAGTGGGACGCCGTAATACTACTTCTCCCTCGCAATCAACTTTTCGAAAAGTCTGTGCCTCGAGCAGAAATGAAAATCTGCAATTTTAGGGTGTTGAAGCCAAGAGTATAAGGCGTCATATCCTGATTACATTTTTTAATTTGGTGCAAAATTAATCATTTTAGAGGCAAAAGATGAAAGTGACCTGTGGTTTTTTTCTTCGACATGTGAGATACACTTTTGTGATGGATGGGACATGTGCGATTCTAGAAGTTGATCAAGATTTTAAAAAGTAAGAAGTTTTGAAAAAGATCAAGATTTTAAAAAAGAACATTTGAGAGAAACCTCTGCTCAATATGGAAATAATTAATCAAAATTTTGGAGCTAGGGTGACACACTGCTGTTGGGTCTGTTTTTGTGGCAGATGGAACAAAAAAAATTGAAAACTCATTTTAGAATATTTCTTTAACATTCAATTGGATCTATTCAAGAAATTTTGTGTTAATCGTATTTAGGGCAGTGTAATGTTGTATTTATTTTTTTTCTTCAATTGTTGCATCAGTATTTATGAGTGAAAAAAAAAACAGTAAAAACGATTCTCTAGTGAGGTTCAAATTTAACAGGAATGATCCAATTTTAACTCAAAACGATTCAGTCGTAAATGAAGTATAACACAGCTTCCATGAATGCAAACGTATTAACACCAATAATACTACTGTGCTAAGGAAAAGCGTTATGTGAACCTTCAGGCATCGGCAAATTTCCTTCGATGGAAGACAAATTTCCTGGTAAACTTAGGAATATTCTTCCAATTTTTCTGATAACTTTGTTCGCTTTTTCACTGAAAGTTCCTGAAAATTTCAAGGAAAAATATTCACAACTTTCCTCCAAAATAAACATTTTATCAAAAGAAATTTGGCAACTCTAATGTTCATACGGCGTTCTTCCTTAGAACGGCAGAATAGTTTAAACGCTCTTGGACGCTAAGTAATTTTTTTTTTTGTTGTGTATTGTTTGTTTCAGAAGTTACCAGTTTTTGTACATTAGACTTATTCCTTCAATTAGTGAGAAAAAAAATTCTATGACTCTGTATTCAATAGATCCTCTCATTAGTAATGAAAGTTGGTGTGATATTTCAAGACTCATCCTATATTTTGTATTTCTGCTGTCATCACATCACTTTGGCTGAAAAATATGTCAAAATTTTCTCAGTTTTATTATCAAAGGTTAGATCTCAGTTTTTTTGTGTGTTTTTTTTATTTATTTACAAATTTTTAAAATGCAGTGCATATGTTATCAGAGACGGGCTGGCTCCTTGGAAGGCTGAAAAATTTCCTAATGGGCTGCAGCCTGTAAGAACTGCAAGGACTAATTGTGGCAACATAAAAATGAAAAAAAAAAAAAAAAAAAAAAAAAAAAANTCAATTCTTGTACTCGTAAATATGATTGCAAAGCAGTAAGTCTTGTTTTAAAAATATTCTGTAGTTTTTTTACTAAAAAAACATCTTATTTTTATCAGTTTTTGTCTTTTTTTGGCCCCTGTAAGCATGGTGAAGAGAACAGCATGAAGACAGAATCCTTTCACATCGATGGCCGAAGTGTGAAATCATGTATCTTCGTTCGCAACGTTGCATACTTCTTTTTTCATTTATCATTTAACCTGGGAAAACTAGGCAACTCAATTTCTTGAAAACTCCCTCGATTTTGCTTCTCTATCAGCAGAATATTCTGTTTAAATTTGGAGCTATGAAGTTGGCTTGTTTCTCTTCAGAAACATCAATAAGAATCAAAAATTTTGAAAAATTGCAAAGGAGTTGCATGGTTTTGCACCTTTGCTTTCGAAGTCATTGCTGAAAGAAACAACACTGCCACTGTTGCTCAAGAAATCTCTCAATGAAGTGGCAAGAATGCCTTTTCTGACATTTTGAGAGTGAAGCAGACTGCCAAAAAAACTTACTAGTATCGCCGCAGTGCTGTCTGTAGAGTTCCATTCCATCAAAAGGCAATTGGGTTTCCAGTTTCTCAGGGTAGAAAGCACTATTGTTGCCAAGTTGCGGTTGCCTGAAATGTAATTTTAGTGTTAATGGCATTGTTTTTTGGTGACAGTACATTGGTTGCTTTGTTAAATTTGGAAACTGCCCATTCTTAGGCAACATCTCATACTCAACCGTGCCTGTCTGACCTGCTGCATATTAAATTAATTTAGTAGTTTCAGTATAAAAAAAGCACATTTGATCCTCATACAGTCTCTTTTGTTTTCATAATCTGCCAAAAATGACATGACCGTTATCCTTCTGTTTCAGACATTTTTTTGTTTCCTGCTGAGTCCTCCTTGCACTCAACGTCAATGAGTAAAAGATTCTGGTTGTGATAGTCATTGGTGTTTGCTTTTTGTCGTAAGATACTGTCTTTTCTACTTTCTGAGACGTACCACACTTTCGTGATAAAAGTTAACCAATTTCAAAGTAGAGTTATTTTCTCTCTGCAGTGTGACGTGCAATTATTTCTTTTTTGTTTGTGCATTGAATAGTTTCCCTTTCCTCCCCCCTCACTGAATCATAAAATAGGTGAAGCTGCAAGTAGCACAGCTTTGCCTGTTTAGAAAACTTTTGAAAGCTGAAGTAATCTAGACTGAAAACTGAAGTTAGACTCCCTAGATTAGACTTTCTTTCATTCAAATAATTCAGTTTGATAAAACATTAATAACCTCAGTTACGCTCTCTGCAGTTTCACGTGAATTTATAGCGGCAGCCGCTTTAATTCAAATTATAATTTTTCTTTTCTGTGTTAATTTAATGTACAGTGAAATGTTGCTAAGTCAAACTGCCGTTAAGATGAAACCCAGCTTTAGTTGAAAATTCTTTCGGTTCCAATGCACAGCTGTAAGCTGCAATGTAAAACAAGAAGACACATCCAACATGAATGTTGGAAAAGCATGCCGAACAACTGAAATGTTGGAGAGATACTATTTTCATGTCTTTGCTATTTGTATCTATTGGTACGTTTTGCTAAATTTAGAACATATTAATTCACGAATGTTGAATGTAAATCAACTTCATTTAAAAAAGAAAATAATAGCATTAACTCGGGTGAACATGTTGCTGATTGTACGTATGAAGGAAGTTTTTTCCAGTATTTTTGTTTAACTTATTAACTCCCGAGAAAGTGTTCAGACATTTTTTATTTCAATTATTCACTTTGATGATCGGTTTAAAACATTCAACACAATCGCTAAAAAACAACATCTCTTGGCAGGACTCAAACCCCTGTTGTCAGAGATCAGTATAATCACATGCGATTGAGCAGAGGTGTAGACAACGGAGCCATCACGACATTCTGAATAACGCAAAGAAATAAGAGTATTAGAGAATCGTAGACAGACTAGGTATTCGTTCACCGTTGTGGGCCGGTGGGCAAGGCTTCACTGCCTTGGCCCTTCGGCAGCTGTCATGGTTATAAAGAAAGGATTAAGCTCATTTCTGTATGAACTGTAGTTAGCACATGCTTTTGGGTCTCTTGAGGTTCATCCCAGCATGCATTCGCTGTCACGGCAGTTGAGCTGAGGCAATATTTGCATTTCCATGAATTAAACCAATCAATCCGTTTCTGATTTTGGCTTCTATAGCTGTAATGGGTCCTCTAGAGCAACTTTCCACCTTGTACAATGGTTATTATTTTTTATTTTTATTCTTAACATTTGAAGTGGGATAATGGCAGCCTCTCAAGAGCCACCCTATGTTTATCCTCTGTTGATCGAACAAGAACATATATAAAAGAAGCTCATTGGCTACAAAGTTGCGGCAGGATTTAAGGTTCTAAATTTGAGTTGTCCGAGGGTAGAAAAGCTTATTTGAGCTTTCTTTCAAATTAAATATTACGGTTTTGACAGAAAAATGTTCTCACGGGTTTCCCCTGAGAAGTTAATTCGGTTTCTTGGTGAATGATTATCAGGGCTTGACAGTTCAACGGTTCAAACACAAAAAAACGGATCCATCGGAAAAATAATTTTGACTGCCCATTGAATAGCATTGGTTTATCGGTGTGCTGTCTGTGCTATACTATGGTACATCCAAGTGATTTTAAAAAGCAAGCCCTACTGGCATGCTTAAAACCACAACCAAGACAAATTTGTAACTTTTGTTGGGGAAGAAAATTCTCAGTAAATCTGACAAAAATGCAATTTCATACATAGAAAATCAAGAGACAGGAGTGATTTATATAAAGAGGAATGTTTCCAATAAAGTTTTATGATGAATGATGATGTACCCACCTGTGTTTTAAAGGGAGTACACAAGTTACATCTTTAAAGTCTGTGACTCGGGTTGTCCTTTGATGATTTGTTGATGTTGATGACACTTCACATTTTCAATTTAAGAATTTTCATTTAATCAAATGCATTTCAAGCTGATTTCGTGTCAACTGATAAAGTGGATAAAATGATAAACGTCCACGCCCAATAAATTTACGCACTCCTAGACTGCGACAGAAGATCCTTTGACGTTACTTCTATGTGTTAAGTTGATCCAATAAGCAAGATGGCAGATCTTCTGTCGCACTCTTAAAGTGTTTATTTGGCGTGGATTCTAGCTGCTTCAGTCAAAGTTTCTCTCAGCCCCCAGACAATGCGACTTAGCGATATTTCACTGTAATTGCAGTCTGTACCGCCGATTTTGATCAACTCGGGCAAGGCAAAATTGGGCAAGAAAATTATTTCCTTCAATTTTTTTGTTGTATAATTTTAATGTTCTTTCCTCGGTATCCATATTTGAATGCCTTGCTTCAAAAACTGCCTAATTCTGTAGCAATGACTCAGTTTTCTTGTATGTTTTCATTGATGAAAAGAAAACCAACAATCATTCGTTTCACAATTTCTCAGCATTTTTTTCCATGAAATTTCAGAACATTTCCATCAAACCCATTGTCTAACGTGTTTTATTAAAATTATGATGTAAAAAGATAAACTAAAATGTTGCCTTGGAGTTTGACAGTTTTCAAAGCAAACCACTCATTCATGATTTGTGGACGCTAATAATTTTACAAAATAATTTGTAGTCATGATGGTGCTTGAATGATGCTAGTGGATTAGATGTCTGCAATTTGTCAAACTAATCTCATTTTTAGCCCACCTTTTTTATTTTTGTTTGTCCGTCTTTAACAGTTTAAAATGGTTTTTTTTTCGTTGATAATGTTTACCGTTTTTCCTCGTTCCCTCTTTGCTTAGTTTTGTTGTAATGATGGATGCTTTATTTTGTGTTATTTTATAAATGTAGAAATTAATTCACTGATTCTCAATTTTCCAAGATCTTGGGATTATTTTTAAAGATATGTACCTATTGCCAATTCTACAGCACACACTTTGTTTCTACTTGAATCGAATACAAATATGGACGTCAATTTCAATCTTATTTTAAAACTCAAAAACTAGAGCAGTGTACAATGGATCACCAGGCAAAGTGCAAATTTAATTACAAATTATGATGTATGTTTTATTATCAAAATTTTACACAGAACATTTTCTTAGTGGTCCATTTCAAGATTTATGTGAAGTATTGTGAATGAATTACGCTTTCTGTTTTAGACTGAATTTTTCTTTTTATCATCACAAATTTAAAGTTACGAATTAAATTTTCTTTTTCCTCAAGAATCAAACTTTCTTTTTTTTGTGTGAGGAACTTAGACTTGAAACAATTTTCTTGCAAACAAATATTTTCAAAATGTTATTGGGCCTCTCAGAAATAGTTCTATTACATCACTATTACATATACCCTTATTTGCCCTTTCACAACATAATTTCGTCAAATCTCTTTTAAATTTGTTTTAAGTGAACTGCTGCACAAATTTGCACACAAACAACACAAAAATGTTGCAATTTATGTATCAATGAAAGGAAAATTAAAATTCAACAATTATGTAGCATGGTATGTAATTCTTGTTCTTTTGGTGTCTACCTTACCAAAGAGCGTTGATAACAAGAAAACCAAGGGAATTAATTCGACTACGAAAAGTCAAGAAGTTTCATTAAAAAAAAAGAATTGCTGTTTTCCTTGATAGCAGTTTTTTATTGTATTTTTCAATTTATCACATTCAATTATTCAATTTATGTGGCAAAAATTAGATGTAGCATTCAGGTTGAAGTTTTAAAGTCAGTTTAAATAAGGTGTATGAATGAAAAAGGAAGAAATTACAAAAGAAAAATGTCATTTTGCCTAACAAAACACTTTTTGAAGGGAGTTTTTTTGCTCAAAACGTCGCAAACTTCCCTTCCCTTCTGCTACTTTTCTACGACAAAATGTATCTTATCCTACAAAAACTATCCACTATTCTGCCTTAAGAACTTCACTTATATTTAAGAAAATTCAAAGAATTTTGTGTGTCGTTACTGTCTTTCACTGCTAAGAACCTGTTAAATGTTAAACCCTCCTTGACCAGCTAATAAGTTCTCATTTTCTCAGGTGCAGTACAGTAAAGCATGTTTTAAAACAAAGGGAAAGAAAAGTTCCTGAACCCATGATCAAAGTAATCATCTCATTATCTGTAAGAAAATTTAGATACTTCACATTAACACCCAAGAACAGGAGATCAACTCTCAGCAACAATCTTATCGGATGCTATGAATGTTTCATGACATCTGAGTCTATTATCCACTCCCCTATCAATAAACTTAAATCGAAAGGCTTGGAGGACAAGGCGCATAAGTGCAGTTTTTTAAAAAATTGAGGTATCAATGACTTCAAGTAAAACTAGCCTTAATGCATATTCTAGGAAGAATCAAAAAGTCCACTCAAACTTTTTTTCCACCATAAGGATCGGTGTAATCTCAAAACTTCAAACACGTATTTCTCGAAATAGCAAAAACTGCACTCACGCGCCTCGTCCACCAAGCCCCTCATTTCTAATTATGATGCCCAAGATTCCTCTGTCCAAGAAAAATGGAAGAACACAGAAATCACACCAAATAGCACTTGTGTATGTATGTTTAAGCGATTAAACTCTGAACAACTGCAGATGCACCTACATCTCATATATTCAAGCGCTTTCATTTCAAGATCATTCCTGTTTTTACTTTACTTTTAATGCTTGAGATTAAAAATGGCTCACTCAATGAAGTTATCTCTTTGTCTCTCGAAAATCTTCTCTAAATTTAGTTCAAGTTAAGTAGGTAGTAAACGTTTGCCAAATAAATAGTGGACTCCTCCTTAATTGCCTAGCTCAAAATGTACCTTTTAAAACGAACTTACCATACTCAGCCGAAAATATCGATCTAAATACTGTCTAATATTTTCTTCAAGAATATTTTCGACTGAGAGAAAAAGTAAGACAGAGTCTTGAGATGTGGTAGCCGATTATTTTATTCAATAAAAACAGGAGAAGGGAGAATTTTATTATTTTGCATCTTACAATTAGTTTGTGTTTTTTAAGTTTCTTCATCAATTTTTCACTGTTACTTTCATCATGAAAATCGACAACATCGCAAACTGAAGTACAGATCCGATTATTTTTGGCGTGAGAATCGATTTTCTCTGTAGGTAGGCAGTTGTTACCTTTTTCTTTTTTTCTGCTTCAGCACAACAACTCAAAAAAATTGATGAGGTTGAGGTGTTTTAGAAAATGAATGCAATGTTAAATTAAACTTTTGGATTAGGTATGCAAAGCTAGAAAATATTTCGTGAACCCATCTGTGTATTTTAGATCTGATTTGTAAAATCTGAAGTTTTGTATTCTAAGTTATGCCTGGTTTGTACAGGGTTTCCCAAATTGAAAAGCTTTAAATTCAGGGATTAATTCTTTAAGCCGAAGTAAGACCTTTTTGTTCTATGGCATGTTTTCTTTTGAGCGATTTTAAGGGGGCCCCTGACCCTAACCCCCCCCCCCCCCCCCCCCCCCCCCCCCCCCCCCCCCCCCCCCCCCCCCCCCCCCCCCCCCCCCCCCCCCCCCCCCCCCCCCCCCCCACC